AGCTCGAGGATCCGGATAAGCTGATCCGTGCCGTTTTCTGACAGGGCTGCAGCCTTCTCCTCTGCTATTAGGTACTTGTCCAATCTTGACCTACTCCGTCTTTTCTTCCTACGCTTCATCTTCACAGGACTATCCAACCACCAGACCTTAAAGTAATCTGAGGAGCGTTTTCGGGTCACCGTGTCTGGTATTCTGCGTTGAAAGCAGCAGCTTTTGTCCTCAAATGGACTTGAAGATGACCTTGTGCTGTTCATACCTGCCCTGGCTTTCTGTCTGGCAACAAGGCTGGCATTGACTACGGCAAGGGCGTCAGAAAGAAGGAAATTTGGTTGGGATGACGTGCACACCAGGTGTCCTACGCGATCTAAAATGTCCATCAACTGAACATCCGCGGGCTGAGCTGTGCTTGTCATCTCAAGTTCCATTTGGCTCGATGACCGGAGAGGCGTGTCGATTGTGTGGCAGGGGACTTTCGATTGCGATGAACCGCGTGGCGGCATCACGTCAGATTGACTCAGGGAGACCTGACGAGAAAAACGTTCCTCGTTGGGAGCCTCTGTCACCCTGGTGGCTTCGGGAATGTCCATTCGGCAGTTTGTCCTGAGTTCCGGCTCAGACCCCTGACCACTGCCTGTAGGTTGCGTCGTAGAGAGCCTTGAGGAGCAGGGGGGTTCTTCGTTAAGGCTTCCAGTCTTCTCCTGTGATTGTCTAACTGAGGTCTGATTAAGGAAAACTGTGCTTCCAGCCTCATCTTGGGATCTGCCACGATCCCGTCCAACGCTATCTGTATCAACTAGAGTCCCGCGACAGGATGCGGAAGACGTTTCTGGAACATTGAACTTAATTCGACTCTCATCAGCCGGGTTAACTGACGTACTGCCACGCCGGTAGACGTCACAATCGATCGAAAATTTCGAATTTGAGCAGGCAGATCTGGCTCTCAACCCGGGACCTTCAATATCGCCATCTGTAATAGAATAAGATCCACAGAGTTCGGCTACATTCTCATTTCTCCAGTCCTCATTCTCCATAACCCGAGTTGTTGAACTGCGGAAACTGTGTGTCAAGGTCGGGTTGAGCGTCGATCTTCTAGCTGACAGACACTTTCTCTGACAGGGATCCACATGGATTCCGCTGCACACTGGCTTTGCAGGGCTCCATCCTGACTTGGATGTAACCGATTCAAAACATGTCACGTCCTGTGGCACTCCACTGTTAACGAATCCGTTCGCCTCAAGCACATTAACCACGCCTGGACAGTTTAGAGTCCTGCATGGTGTGGAACAGTAATCTGAGGTTCTGGATGGTCGATGGTCACAGCCAGTGCAATTGGCTCCACTGGAGTGTCGTTCGGAACATTTCTCACACACCGGATGCTTCCGGGTCCTGCTCAAAGGAGGAAAAATATCTGAGGTTCTGCAAGGTCGACGGTGACAACCAGTGCAAATGGCTGGGCTGGACGGTCTTTCAGAACATTCTCCACATTCCGGAGAGTTCCAAGTCCTGCTCGGAGGAGGAGGACAGACATCTAGGTTTCTGCAAGGTCGATGCTCACAGTCAGTGGACTGTCCACATGGTGGGCAGTTCCGAGTCCTTCGCAGAGGAGGGTAGACGCCTGGGGTTCCGCAAGGTCGACACTCACAGCCACTAGACTGTCTTTCGGAACATTCTCCGTAAGCGGGAGGCGAACAGATCGGACGCCAGTCATCAGCTCCAGTACAGCAACACCTGGAAGTTTGACATTCACTGTTGAGGTGATGCTCCCGGTGAAAACATCGCTCGCAGCAAGTTT